ATTTGCTACACACAAATGGTGAAAGTATTTATAAATGATAAAGAACTTGTTCTGCTTCAGAAACAGCTTTCCTTTCCAGCTCATCTAGGCTGCATGTGCTGTTAATGTCAACCGAACAGCTGTTGTTATACTGTTGTTCTCTATATAATACAGCTTTTCTAAAATCCTGCCAGCAGTTAAAATGATAGTGCACCCAAAAATTTAAATTTTCATTACTTACTTACCATCATGTCGTTCCAAACATATATGACTTACTGTACTTTCTTTTGTTGAACACAAAATATATTTTGAAGAATGTTGGTAATCAAACAGTTTGGTCATTTTTTTACTTCAGTTTTAGCTAAAACTTTTCTCAAAATAACTGTTTCAAAAAAGAAACTACTATTCCTTCAGATAATTTTAAATGCTGAATGATATACTTGCATGTTATAGCAATTAGAAAATCATGGTAGCTTTGAAAAATAAGCTTTACCAGATGGATTTTTAATATAGTGTTTCATTTAGAATAGTCAAGTATGCAGTCACAATACAGAGATACAGTCCCTGTCTTCTTTATTAAACATTTCATATAACATCCAGATTTCATTGTGGCAGACCGACGACATACAGTCAAGCATAGTGCCACGATAGCATTAAGAAAATCACACACACACACACACACACACACACATATATATGTGTGTGTGTGTGTGTGTGTGTGTGTGAGAGAGAGAGAGAGAGAGAGAGAGTGTGTGTGTGTGTGTGTGTGTGTGTGTGTGTGTGTGTGTGTGTGTGTGTGTGTGTGTGTGTGTGTGTGTGTGTGTGATTTTCTTATATACTGTATATAGGGCTACAGATGAATGTATTTGGATGCCTTTTCTCTGCATTAAATTTGTTTAAAGAAATATTTCCCCTTTTTTAAAGACAGATACTAATTTAAAACATGCATTCCAGTTCACAACATTGTTTATACAACTTCTTTTAACAGATGAATAGTTCAGGGCAGTCAGTCAGTGTGTGTGCATCTATGCTCATTCATACTCTGAAGAAATGGTATAGTGTCGCACTGCCCCCTAGCCAAGCAAGTTAGTAATAACTGCACATTTTTATTTTTTTACATATTTTACCAAATATTTCAGTATAACGTTGCCTTATATAAGATATATAGCCTATACTTATCTGTTTTATTTCAAGTGTCTGTACGCTAACCTCCATTATAGTATGTAGATACATTTTTAAATGAATGTACATATTGCATGTTAGCAGTGTTACGTAAAATAAATGTAACGAGGCCGTTACAGTTACGGAGACAAAATGTGTAATTAAATTACAGTTGAAAATGTTAATGATTACAAAGGGGGTCACATCTGAATATTTCTTGTATTAATATTTACTATTTCTTGTTGTGATTTTAAATCTGTATTGACGCTCAGAAGGATCAGAAAGTAGAAAGAGGTGCTAAAGTATGATTTTGTGGTGGCTGTGCTTTAAAACGGAATTATTATAATCTCAATTCAAGTGATGAAGGGTTTTTAAAGGCTGACAGTAATTAGTGTGGAGTAATATTGTAAGGTTAACCCTGCCTGCTTTAAATGTTTTAAAATGATTAACAGTTGAAAACATGCCTTAGAAATTTAGAAAAGTAATCAAAAAGTAATCACATGTAATCAGTTACGTTACACTACTTATTACATTTTAATAGGGTAACTTGTAGTCTGTAACCTGTTAAGTAACCTTCCCAACACTGTTGTTTTGTAACCTGTACAATGTGTTTATTTGAAAAGAAATGGAGAAATGGTCTAATTTTGCTCTTTTTCAGCCTAGAATGCTTCTGATTTTGTCGTCATAAAGCCGTCCCCAAAGGCTTTTCAGAGAATTTGGCAGTACATCTAACCGGCCTCACAACAGCAGACCACGTGAAACCACACCAGCCCAGGACCTCCACATCCAGCATCTTCACCTCCAAGATCGTCTGAGACCAGCCACCCGGACAGCTGCTGCAATATTTGTATTCATTTTGAGGAATACTGAATCTGTTTTTTTTTCTTCGTGTGAGTGAGATGAATTAATGCATATTCATATTTATTTTGGACTACAGTAACATCTTCTGATTTCTCTCAACATGGGGACAGGAGAGCTGTCAATCAATAAATTGAAAAAAAAGTAACTTGCATTACTTATTTGAAAAAGTAACTCAGATATTCTCTTGTAAATTAAAAAGTAATGCGTTACTTTACTAGTTACTTGAAAAAAGTAATCTGATTACGTAACTTGTGTTACTTGTAATATATTACCCCCAACACTGTAAGTCAACATACCTTAAAAGGGTCATATGATGCTTTTTTAAAGATCATTATTTTGTGTATTTGGTGTAACAGAATATGTTGACATGCTTTAATGTTCAAAAAACACATTATTTCTTTTCAACATGTTCACTGTAATTGCCAAACAATAATGTGAACAATTTAAAATGTTTCAGCTTTTGTGCTAAATGTAAGCTAAAGAATAAAACAGCCATGAAAATCAAAACAATATGAAACAGCAGGAGTAAACAGTTATATAATAATAGGTTAGAATTAGAACATCATTAAAAACTTATTCTAATTTAAAGGGTTTAAACTAGATTTTTAAAACCAACATGCAAAGCCATTGCTAACAACGTGTAGGCTACAGAACAGCGCTTGTGACAACTTGCCTTGAGCAGATCAAACTGAAACAAGCCTATTTTATTTGATACACATCTGTTGGAGCCAATAATGAAACTGTAGGCTAATTATATCGTAATATCTAAATTGATCTGTAGTAGGCCAAGTATCAACCAGAATGGTATTCAAAAGAAATACATCGTGTAAAACAGTGTTTCTCAACCAGGGGTCCGTGGACCCCTAGTGGTCCTTGACATAAGGCCAGGGGGTCCATATAAAGTATGAATTTTTGTATAAATTTTGTATATTTTGACATGTCATGTTCCCATGAAAGAAAAATCCAATATAGCTGATGATATGGCCAAATACTGGACAAGTCAGCTAACTTGAATTATACTTGACTGCATTTGGTCCTCACAAAGACACAAATGATACAAGTAAATTTTGTTCTGGGGGTCCTTGAGGATGGTTCTGAATTGGACTGGGGTCCGGTACGCCAAAAGGTTGAGATTCACTGGTGTAAAACATATTTTCATAATTTTCTTTTAAAAAAACACCAATTACATCCTAAGTCAATGGAACACAGCCACATGACCTCATGGCCTGGATGAAGTCCGGTCGATAGGTTCTTATACAAGAATCCGTTCCGCGTTTTGCAGAAATTCTGTGCGTGGAAAAAAAAAGTCGCCTCACCTGCTGAGCGCTCCAACATATCACTCCGCAGGGTCAGTTTATATTATTTTTACTTTGCACTGGCGTTTGTAAAACCGCCAATATGTGATTTAAAAATACGTTCTAGTGTTATTATGAAGGATAACGGCATGTACTTCTGTGTGAGAGGGTGTCGTTCCTCTGAGTGCCGTGTTTAATGCTGTGGCACTATTTATCATGGTGTCGCTCGCAGGGCGTGATTCGGTTACACTCAAATATGGCTACCATGGAGTCAGAGCTACAACTTTAATATTTGTACTAATGCAGAAATGTAACGTTTTGCGTCAATCTTCGCTCTACAGTCGCGTCGAATTATCGTTTTGTGCGTGTACAAATTGTGAATACCCAGGCAAGGAGATCATCTCGATGTGTTTAGCGTTAATAAAGTGTTGCTCGAAATTGCAGCTTGCTCCGCGAGCTGATCGAAATCGTCAGGATTGAAAGCTTGAAAGCGAAATCTGCTTTCGGTTTTCTCGCATTCGAGGGTATTTTGGGCTGTGTTTTCCCGAATGTGGCCAGGGCTCGGCTCCTGTCATCGACTCAGAAAGCGGTCGGTATGGCTTGTTTTCGGATGAGGGATGTAACAGTAACCCGCGAGGATTTGGCGATGTGGGATGAAGCGGAATAAAGAAAAGTGATCCGCTCAAACCGAAGGAAAGCGGCTGCTTTCTACCTATGGATTAAACAGTGTAGGTTTTCTGGCTCTAAAAGTGGATTTTACTGGAATACGTGTACAGTATCGCAGAAGATATCGCTTTGTCACGCTGGCTTATTTTCCTGAGGATTCTTGTCATGAAGGAAATAAATAAAAATTGCTAGGGTCGAAGAGGTAAGTAAAGTGTGTTTTTGTCGCCTTTCTGCTCTTCATTTCGACCGAGTGTGCAGCTTTTCTTAATCTTGTATTCTCGCTAACCTGCTTATTTGGTATAAAGCCGTCAAAATACGCTTTAAAACGCCCTGCATCTTTACTGTCCACTACCTTTAATGGGCCGTTATATGATTCCGCTTGGATAGGCGACTCCAGGCTTGAGTAATGTTTCCAAGTTAATCAGCCGGGCTTGCAAGGCCTCTACTGTATCCACTTATAGCATTGCTTGCGCATTTACAGTCATATTTCCACAAATCATCTAAGTTGACATCACTTTGAACGCGATTATCATCATAAATGCTGCGTCTTTGGAGAGCAGAGATACTTGGCGTGCAGGTAGGTTTAGCCTTTGGGCTCCCTAAAGAGTTCAAATGCGTCTCTCTCCTTCAAAGTAGCCTGCTTGTTCTTGTTTTTTCCGTTTTATAAAAAGTATTAAGTATGGAAACCGTTGGAGTATTGCATGGCATGATGGTATTATTGGCACCCTGCGTACGTAAGGCTCTGAAACACAAAGCTCTGGAGACAACTGAACAAAGGCAAAAAGCTGGACATGCCCCCCTCATGTGAAGAAGCACTTGCTTTGTGTGCTTCTGTTGTTTCACTAAGGCTGTCCCTCTGGTTCCTGCATGTGTTGTGATATAAAATAAAATATCCAGTACATATTTTTGGTGAGGTATGCATTGCAAGTACAGTGTTCAGAAGTATTCTGATTGACCCACTCTCTAGTTAACTTCAAAAGAAGTCCTGCATACATGGCTGATTGAATGCTCCTTCATCATTGCGTTAGATAGATGGAGACATTAGAGATCCCAATGACTTGCATGGATAAATAGGTCTTTATTGGACCTCATTGGGAAATTCAGGTACAAACTGTATTTTTTTTCTTTTACTTGAGAAATGTTTACAGTATGGGTAGTTTTATAGAGTTTATGTAGCTTGTTATTGAACCAAGTGGGAAATTCAGGTGCAAAATCGCAACAGTATCAAATGTAGACCGCAGATATGCACAAATAAACATTAAAGAGGTCATATGATGCTTTTTTAAAGATCATTATTTTGTGTATTTGGTGTAACAGAATATGTTGACATGCTTTAATGTTCAAAAAACACATTCTTTTTCAAATACTGTACATTATTGTAGGTCCTCTATGCCCCGCCTCTCTCAAACGCTTCGTTTTCTACAAAGCCCCTCCTTCCGACAAGCGCAGTCTGCTCTGATTGGCCAGCTGACCCAGAGCATTGTGATTGGCCGAACACCGCAAGCACTCGTCGGAAATGTAACGCCCCTTACCATAATCGCAGCTTCAGCTTTCAAAATAAATGTAAAGACAGAGCCCGAAAGCGGAAACAGAGTCGCGTGACAGACAGTGATGAAGCTGGTATGTGTTTGTCTTTAGTCTTTGCAACTTCAGGGATCTTATCTATGCACAATCAGCTTGTAACACTCCAAAGAGAAAGGAAAACTTGAAATCGCATCATATGACCCCTTTAATGCAGTTAAAACACAAAAATAATGCCCATGTGAACGCATTAGCTGGTGCTGCTACCATGTTGTGAGTTAGAAAACCTGTTTATGAACAATGTCTTTACATCTGTCCAGATGTGAAAACTTTAAATTGCATGTAGAGATACAACATTTGCAAATTATGTGTTGTAAAATGAATCCAAAGACATTAATAATTATGAAGCAGCATCATTCTGTGTGATCATCAAATGAGTGAAAAGAGGGAAAGATTCAAAGGCCTGTATCCTTTTGTAACCTTTAACTTTTTATTACATGTAACTTGTTATTTAGTCTTTTTTAATTACTTTGTAATACCTCTTGAGAGGTTTGGAAATCCTTTGCGTTTGCAAGGTTGATACTGATGTTAGCTATGGGCTGATGATTGCTATGGACTGAGCAGATTTATTGTGTTATGCCAATTTTAAAAGACACCTTTAAACCATTGTCTTTATACTTCTAATCCATATGCTGATATTTTATTTTCTGTTAAAGACCTCATGAAATCAGACTTGGAATTTGTCGACTTTTAGTTCGTTTCATTTACTCTTGGTTGACAAAATAAACAGCATTTTTTTTTCTTCTGAAAAAGGACTGAAAATATTGATGCGTCATCCTGTGCTTAAAGGGGTCCTGTTATGCTTTTTCACTTTTTCAACTTTAGTTAGTATGTAATGTTGCTGTTTGAGCATAAAAAAGATCTGCAAAGTTACAAAGTTCGAAGTCCAATTCAAAAGGAGATATTTTATTTAACAGAAATCACTTTTCAAAAACTACAATGAACGACTCGTTTGGACTACAACGCATATTTCCCAGGATTTGTGATATCACAAATATCGACGAATGGGACGTCCAATCAAGTTCTCTCTAGAAAGATAATGCCCATCCCCCAATATCACCTTTGGGCTTGTTCGAGTTTGATCGGCTCTGCGCAGGCTGATCGGTGTATGACCTCAAAGTACCACGAGCAATTCATAAAGAGACGTCTGCTCTCCAATCACTCTCGCGGTACTTTGATGTCATGCGCCAATCGGTCTGTGCAGCACCGACGCATCTCCAACAAGCCTTTTTACTAGCAATAGCATGTAGCAACTCATGCATCTCAGCTGTGATGTAAACTAAAGCCTACTGGCTGTTTAAAAATAGGAGACAGTTTATTCGATTTATCCTCCCCCAGCTTCCTGTTTCAGTAGGAAATCAACATGAAAGAAAAATGCATTCACCAAGCCATTTCATGAGGTCTTTAAACGGCTACCACAGACAATGTGTACGCACACACTAATGGCAATGCACACAGCCTCATTGAGGCTTGACTCAACCATGTGAGGTCTAATTGTTTACTTAAAGCAGGATACAATGAGAGCAGCCCAGGGAGGGATCCCACGTAGTTCCCGGAAAAGACAGCATCCCGTTGGCAGTATGCCTCGTCAGCTGAGTGGACAGGTTGGCAGAAGCACCACGCAGAGCAGGTGCAAGGGTCAGCACTGGGGATCCAGCAGAGCAGCGACTAACAATATGCACAACATTCAGAAAGATTACACAAAATAATGACCGAAACTTGTTCGGTCGCCTACAACGGTGTTGCGTTTACTCTATATTGGAGCATGGAGGCCCATGTCCTTCAGGCTGTGCTAATGTGTCACAAGTCAAAATGATAGACAGACAGATAGATAGATATCCCGTTATTTCAAGAACTAAACTTCCCCTTTGAAAATCACATCACTGATAATGATTCGTTTTTTTATATATATATATATATATATTTTTTTTTTTTCTCTTTCAAATTGAAAGAAAAATGTGTAGCCAGTCTGTTTCTTTTTTGCTCTGATATCTAATGCAACCAATAAGTAAACGGCATTGTTAGGATTGTTTTTATTGGAATTAAAAAAAGTGTGCTACTGCTAACACTTGTTTTTATTCATTTTCATGGTGGTTCAGTTGCGAGTTGGACCCCATATTATGAGCAAATCATACAAGTTTATTAAAATATTATTTAGGATTTAAGCTCAGGGATTATTTTCTCCTCTGGCATTACCAGTGTTTAATAGAATCAGAATTAAAACCTCACTGGTTGGAGAATGTTGTGTTTTAAAGGCGTAAAGCTGCTGCAAAGCTGGGAAAACTTGCTGTGTTGAAAGCTTTCCTGGAAATGTAGCATTTGGAGATATCAGTCTACATTATAGCATACACTTGTATATGTTTTCTAATATATTACATAATTTTTCTCACAGAATGTCATCAGAGGAGAAAAGTCTAGACCCCTCTGACAAAGGACCCTCACCACCTCCTAGCAGCTCTGGGGCCACTCCCACTGGAAGTCCGGCCCCCACAGATAAGCGGCCCCGGGGCCGCCCTCGTAAGGACGTGTTATCCACGGCAACACCGCTTCCAGCTGTGCCCAGACAGAGAAAGAAGTAAGTTCAATTAAACTTCTGAATTGCTGTCATTATTGATGTAAATTGGAAGTCTAAATGTCTTCAGAAAATGAGGATCATTGGTCCTAAAAGTGAAGTATAGTATGATCTTATGAAATTCATCCTGTTGGTCAAACTCTATGTCTATACTGGAAGCAACATAAACTTAAGGCTGTCAACATTGATGGCATTAAAGCTACATGTCACCTCAAAATGTTCACCAACCACGAACCAGCTGGTTGCGAGTTTGTGGTTAGACTTCAGCAACTTTGCGTCCCATTTTATTTTGAAATGGAGGTCCATTGCTGTCCATTGGTGGGTTGTTTTTGAATTCCAAAAAAGTTTTGTTTATAATTGTATTATTTGTTCCAACATCTTGTATATAAGAAACCTTAATAATAAGAAAAACAAGAGGTTATTTAAATGAATAGGTCAGAACAGAAACATCACAAATTGTTATTTGTGTAAAGTCAGCATATTAATGTCATAATTTGGGATAGCATCTGATTCTACCCATTGGTATTTCAATGGATAATGAAAAGTGGGTGTTATGTACCAGAATAAAGCAAGGTGGTCGGAAGAGAGGGTTTGAAAGGCAAGAAATTGCTGATGAAGCTGTTTCGGCAGCAGAGCAAGTTACTTTTAAATGAAAAAGTTGATATTTAATTTCTTTAGATTTTTTTTTACATTTACATGACCTTGTAAATGGTCAAGCTGTCAACTAATATTTATTAATACTAATAAAATGAATACCCATTTTTTCATACTGTACTGTTGTGATGCCTAAATTCACTTGTAGCCTTCAAACCGATTTTAGTTTTTAGTATTTATTTTTTAAATATAGAAAAAAAAAATCACTAATCAGGATGAGCCAAATTTTCAATATTGCATGGTGCATGCATATAAAATAATATTTCAGATGCGTGCTAAAAATAACGTGGAAGGGTTAGCAGTGCAGCACATCGCAAATAGAAAGTGAAATAGGGTGCACTGTGGACACTTTCCATCTTTGTTGATTTATACTGAGAACATTCTAGTTTTGATGCACCGCTCATATCCAGTGTTGACATGATGCAAAAATTTGATTCATGGACTAATAAGCTTTCCTCCTATGCGACAAGCCATGCATTTGACCAGTTTAGCTTCATGGACACGTGACAGTGGAGACCTTCTCACCGGCTCTGATATGCCTCTCTGACAGGCAGCTTTGAATGACGGTGCGATAAATTAACCCCTCTGAGCCCTTAGGCTATTTACCCATAGAACACATTAGAGTTCCTCTAGCGAGAAGCACCTGCTTAGAGTTTACCTGACTGGCAGCATAATCCAGGGAGGGACTTCAGGCTCACCAGAAGCCATTGAATGTACAGGAGCAGTTATTGAACGGTAATCCTGGCAGACTTCCTCTGTTTCACATCTGCATTTGAGAAGAGTATGTGCATCTTTCTTGACTTGGATAACCATCTAAATGGAGGGGAGGCGCTTGGCATTTTTCCTGAGGGGATTAATTATATAGGAGTTTTTTAAGTGAAAAGCGCAGGTGCCTCTGCCAGCTTAGGAGCTTACTATGAGTATGTAAGGTGTGATGGCAGAGTCTGCAACTAGGAACGGTCTAGTGCAAGGTGCTTTTCATTAATAGATCTCACAAAATCCATATTCTTCAAAAGAAGAACTGCCCAAGAGTACCTACTACTTACCTTTCAAATACCTCTTGTACTTAAGTAAAACAGTTGAAATTACTACACTTTCAAAAAATAGCAAGTGTTTAGTGGTACAAAGGGACACCTTTGTACCTTCTTTACCCTTAAAGCGTTCATAATAGTACCATAAAATTACATATTACTCCAATTTTTGTAAAATTATTACATAAAATAAATGGTTAAAGTATTTGTAAAGTTTTTCTTTTTTTTTGCGTTTTGCATATGCAACATATAACACATTTCTTCAGTGTTTTTACAGAAAATCATATCTCATTGACCTGAATGTCATAAATTCTTATTGTTTACAAGAAGAAAACATGACCTTTGTGAAGTATTTATTTTAATACTTAAAGGGGTCATATGATGCTGCTAAAAAGAACATTATTTTGTGTATTTGGTGTAATGAAATGTGTTTTAAATTAGGTTTAAGGTTAAAAAAACACATTATTTTCCACATACTGTACATTATTGTTTCTCCTCTATGCCCCGCCTTTCTGAAACGTGTCGATTTTTACAAACCTCATCGGTCTGAAAAAGCGAGGTGTGCTGTGATTGGCCAGCTATCCAGTGCGTTGTGATTTGGCTGAATACCTCAAGCGTGAGACTGAAATGTTACGCCCCTTACCATACTGTAAAGCCCTGTCCGGCCAGAGCGATGATTCAAAAACATGAAAACCCATTACAAACGAGGCATTCGTTGCATCCAGTGGGGACATAATTATGGATTATAATGACTTATACGGTCTTTTTACGCATTGCGTTGCATCACGCCGCGTAAACATAAAGCCATGTCTGCATTTGTGATCGGAGAAATGACAAACAACAAGCACTACTCTACATTGCTCAAAAAACTCGCTTTAAATATATAAAATATAAAAACTCTTTAAATATAAAAGACGTACTTACAGTCTTTGAGTCAGAACAGCCGGCATTGTAGTCTACTCTACCAGGATCAGGAAACAGTCCTCCATAAAATGTGCTGCACACATCTGAATATTTGGGTTGAAGTGTTCTGGAACAGTGTTGTAAATACAACTTAACCACTGATTTCTAGTCGTGTCCATTTTTGGAAGACCAAACAAAGTAGTTTCGCTTTCACAACGAAACAGCATCACACACCGCGGCCTACAGTGAGCAGAGGCCGGGGGCTAGCGTGAGGAACGGCTGGAGGGGTAGAGTAAGCAGAGGCGGGTGGGCTTGAGAACGGCGCGGCCGGCGATTTCGACAAAGGAGCGTCCGGAAGGACATGTGGCGACCCCGGGCAGGACTCCACTTCGTCCACGGTGAAAGCCAATCCGGTGATCCCCAGCGCAAAGTTGTAGTATTTCCTCAGCGACCAGCACGGATCAGCTCCAGGCATGACGAAGCAAATATCGTCCTCTTTTGGAAGACCAAACAAAGTAGTTTCGCTTTCACAACGACGCACACAGCGTCTTTACGACATGATGGCGGAAACAACAATACTACAGCAAGAATAAAAGTTACGTCTTCTTTCTTTGCGTGAACATTTGGGCGGCGTTATGCAAATCTTCCCACATAGTGAGGTAGATATGTGGGGGCGTGTTAGAACGAGCCATTTTAGGTAGGCGTGGCTGACTCTTAACTTTTGTAAAGAATATCTCTTTGGATTTGAGACTTTAGTCTTTGCAACTTTACAGATCTTCTTTATGCACCAAGAGCTTGTAACACTCCAAAGAGAAAGGAAAAATTTTAATTGCATCATATGACCCCTTTAATAGACATTATAATGCATGTTTGTAATATTAAAATAAAAAATCTGGTTTAAATTTCCAACAAAAATCAAAGTCGTTATGAAATTAACCATGATGCTAGGGTGTTGTGTGTGGTTGCTAAGGTAATATGAGGCTGTTTCTATACAGTGTTGTGGTTTCTTATTAGCCCATGACAACAGATTCGAACCCAAGTATGAGATTCCATTCAGTTTAAGTCTGGAGGTTTTTTCACCCATCTTATCATCCGCCAACGCTTAGAAAAATAATGGCATTCCTCTCCTCAACAAGCCACATGGTTTAAGGTGTCATCCAAGTCTGTATCACAAACAGTGCGAGAAAGATTACACATTTAATATTCAGTATTATATGTTGCTTGAAATCCTTAATTGTTAGCAGTAGTGCTGCTTGCCTTGGCGACCAAAAGAAATTCTTTAGTTTATTGTTTTACAGTCCCTTTTGTTGCTTGCTTTAGTCAGTTTAGTGGATCTCTAAGGGTTCGATTGAATTTGGTCCCATGTTTTTGAAGAAAACCATTGGGTCTGTTTGCATCACGTTTAAAATCCATTCCATAAAACTCCCCTCCAGATTTTATACTGTAATCCTGCATTGGCTCTACTTTCTAAAACAGTTTTTTTCCCCTCTGTCTCTCTCTCTGTATGGTGGGATCATGGGGATAAGTTATAGGTCTCTGGGCTTGGGGGTTGGGTGCCGAGCACACTTAAATGGACCGTGCATTACTGTGTTCTCCTCTTTTCATTTTCCAAACACATAGACCAGTACCTGTGTATATATATATGCACAAATATACCAAACTTCAAATGCGTGTACTGCATTACGATTTTTATTTTACCTGTGACATTTAATGCTGTGCAGAGCCAACACAGGGTTTTAAAACAATCAACGTCAGCATTACGTAGCGACACATGACTGGCAGTTGCAGGTGGAGGCTAGATGACATCATAACTGTCAGGCTATGATGTTATTCTTGAATGAGACCAAGGTTTTCTTATTTAAAGTCATTTAAATCAGTTAGAATTGTCATGATGTCATATTCGTTTTTTTCCTCATTGAATACTGTTTCACTTAATCCCATTATGGAAGTAAATTGGTTTGCGAATGGCATTTTTAATGTTGGCTTTAAATGAATATCATTTTTAAATAAGTGCATTTAGCAGATGCTTTTATCCGAAGCGACTTACATTGCATTAGTGCGTACAAAGCAGATTTGATCAGTTCATGCATTCCTTGGGAATCGAACCCATGACTGCGGTGTTGCTAGCGCATCGCTCTACTGTTTGATCCATGGGAAAGCCATTCAAATATTGTTCCGTTTGTTCATTTACATCCATAAAGACCATTCAGAAGTAGGACATTTTCATGTTTCCTCATCCAGACAGAGTTGATGTTTGGCTGTCTGGGAATCGTGATGCATATTTAATCCTCTGTCTACTACAGAGTCGTCTTGGGTTTGGGCGTTAACACGGTTCATTTCTGTGGTGCCTCCATCTAACCCATTTGAATAGCTGAAGATTTACTCTAAAGGTATATGGAACAAACAAATCGATCC